TTTCAGTCTTTCAATTCTGAAATTATTCGATTTTTCAAGTTTTCAGGTTTCTGATTTTTAAAATGTTCGATTTTTCGAGTTTTCGATTTCTCGTACTTTCACTTTTTCGATTCTCCTATTTTTCTTCGATTTTTCCGTTTTTTGATATATCGATTGATCAATTTTTAGATATTTTAGTTTTGGGATTTTTTAACATTTTTAATTTTTTTGGATTTTTTGATTTCTCGATTTTTTCCTTTTCGATTCAATGTTTCGGTTTTTTGATGTTTCGAATCATCGATTTTTAAATATTTCGATTTTTCAATTATTCAACATTTCAATTTTAGATTCTTCAATATTTTATTGTTTCGATTTTTCGTTTTTTGGATTTTTCAATTTCTCCATTGTTCGAATTTGTAATTTTAGATTTCTCAAAATTTTATTGTTTCCTTTTCTCGATCTTTGGATTTTTTCATGTCTCGACATAGATACCAAGCTGAAATACATCACTACATATAGAAAACTATAGGAATTCGAGTGGTAAAAACCGGAATACGCTTTCATCATCCAAATTTGCGAATCGTCAAACTACAATTTTGGATTTTTGAGTTTTAATTTAAAGAAGGATTTCGTGTAAAATGGTAAAAATTTTCAACAACTGATGGCAAAAACGCACTCCGCTGGGCAAAATTAGTCTAGAGTCTTAATTTCAGGAAGATTGAAGGCATGTTTATTTTTTGGGCAATTTTTCCGGAGGTTTTTCGGTCAAAATTTTCGAGTTTGGGCCAAGTTATCTCGATTTGTCTGAAAATTATTCCTTTCCCTAATTCGAACCTCCTAAATAAGAATCTGAGGCCAAAAAAATTGTAAAAGAGCTCATGATTTTGTTCTAAATTTTTTAATATTTGAATCTCCCGAAATGTGTACGTAGATTCTAAATGAACATAGTTACTTAGCTGAAAATGCACTCCTATACCCAAAAACTATAAGAAATCGAAAGATAAAGCCGAAAAATGTGTTCTCTTGGTCAGTTTAAAAATAAGGAAATGACCTAAATCCTCAAATCGGAGATTTCGTATAAATGAATAGACATATAAATAAAAAATAATAAGTATCTTTGATTTTATCTGCTATCAGATTTACGTTTTTTTCTTTCCGAGAGTAAGCCAAGGAAGTATTGTGAGAGGTTTAAATTTTATAAATTAACATCCTCTCTACTTATGGTTTATGAATCCGCCTTGTTTTGTTATTAGTATTATACTGCATGTTTGAAAATTGACATATGTGCTCTTGCTAAAATGTTGATCAGAACTTTTCAAGTGTGAAATCTCACTAGAAACTCAAAAATTGTCTTGATTCGTCTTTTTGGAGCAACGGTTAATGGAGTGTCCGTTTCATATCACTGCACTCCGCGCCAGACCAAATATAAACAAGTTGAGGGTTTGTTTTCGTAAGGTAAAGCATTCGATTCAGAGACAGTGGCGAAGTATGGGTGATCAGAATATGATGAGAAAAATTAATGATTTTTTAAAAAAGCTCTACAAGAATCACAAAAAAATCGTGTGTAAAAATCTGTGAATCCAGTCGATCGCTATCGCCGTCCCCATCTGGGCGTGCATCCGATAACGTTATCTCTATTCGCAAATTTGAGGAGCATCAATCTGACTTTGATGAAGTGGTAATAAAAATCGTGGATTAACGTGTCATCCGCCCCGGAATCGACGTTCGTGTCCGTAATTAAGTCTGCCGAAAAGTACCGTGGGATAATGAAGACTCGAAACAGTATCTTGTCGATCTAGCTGGCACTAGTTGTAAATGCGCTACTGATAATTAATATGACGTGTCTAATTTGTCTTTGAAGAGTGAAGAGAACAGACGCAGGCCCTGCCTAAATCTCTTTGCGTTAACGATCCGTAACGAAATGTATAAATAAAAGTGCGGCGTTTCAAAGCGGACAGATAGAGACATGTAATTGGTCTAGTTTAGCGACATGCAAATCAAAGGAACGCGCGTGACTAAACATATCGCCTTACTCGACGCAGCGACGACGACGCTGACGACGCCGTCAGCCATTGTGTGAAGCCTTGTTGCGTCGCCGTTACGCAAGGATATTAATTATTCCAGAAACGGCAGCCTTTGGGGCCGACTCTTCAACGGGCAATTTGCGATAATGAGCGCCAAATCTCGAAACGGAACGCCAAAAGTGCAGCCGCAAGAAAAGCTCGAGTCGCCCTAAAAGGGTCGCCCAGATTTGGCCGTCGCGTGAACCACCTGGGCGGAGTGGGCTAATGCGCTAATTATTTCAACCACACCTCGTCACCTCACGCGATACCCCTATTACTGCGCCGTTATTATTACCATTACCGTGCTCCAGACAACAGGTACGCACATAACCCACCACGAAGGTCGAAGGCGGTTTAGGGCAAGACCTACCGCTTGATGACGTGCGCTGTACCTCCCAGGTATGTAATTATCTAGTTGGCGGGTCTTCTCAGAACCGCACATTACATCTGAAAGCTCGCGACGCGACTAATCGCCTTTTGACGCTTTTATTTACGATCCGCGACATCAACACCTTCTTTGAACTTTTCCACATTTTTCACGAGCGACCCAAAAATGCGGCGGATTTTGTGTCGTAAATATGACAGAATCGCGTGCCCGTTGATTATTTTGCGATTTCCGCAACCGCAGCGATTTTCGCCCGAAAAAACCGGACCGCTGCCAATTAAACCCGGAGAATTCGTCGTCGTAATTCGCATTCGGCATCGAGCCCGTCTCTGGCGGTCAGTAATTCGCGCAATGTGTAATATCCAGGCACGTATTTGAATTCCTGGAAGTCGTAACTATTCGGGCGGGGCGATCGTTCGGAATTTCATCAGCTCCGGCGACCGGAAAGGCATCGCATCGCGCTCCCCGGAGTCCGGCCGGAGCGGAGGAGACCCGTTCGAGTGTATTGTAATTACCCATCTGATTAAAATAACTTCAAAGTGGGAATCTTGTTATTAGATACTTTCGGCGGGCGACGTTGTCTGCGCTGGTGCGTGGCCCTTCCGTGCCACTAGACACATGCAGATTATCTTGCCGAATTATACACATTAGCGCGAGAACTTATACCTACGTGATCATCGAGGGCCCGGTTTCCGTCAAAGGAAAGGTGGTAATTTGAATCGGAGGAAAGTTAATTACGGACGGGCGAAGAAACAGGATTAATCGGAGAAAGGGAGAGGCAGATTGACGTTCCGTGCGGCGGGGTTCATTAATGTCGGAGACAGTTTTCGATTTCGATTCTTCTAGCACTTCAAAATTAGAGTATCACTGAAAAAAGTAAAATTGTAAATTTACAGTAATTATCGTTGGTTACCGGTTGCCCTGATAAATGCTGTAAATTTACAATGCTAATTTAAAAATTACTTGTCACTGTGAAAAATAAAAAGTAATTTTACAACAGTTTTGTAAATTATTTGGTAAGTTTACTATCCTGTCTGTAATGTATTTTTACAATAAAAACAGTAAAATTTAGGTTGTTTTGTATATTTACCATATGTTATTGTTATTATTATTATTATTATTATTTTTATTCTTGTTTAGTGTAAAAAAGCACAAAAAATTGTATATACATTTATTGTAAATATGAAAAAATATCAAAATAAAGAAACATTAATAGAAAACATACCTATATCTAAACTTAACTAAACTTAACTAACCTATAAGTAACTTATATCTAACTGTCTAAATGTCTCTTAACTTCCTCATGAGACCGAGCACCTTTTTTTTGGAGGCTGATAACTTGCGCGATTTGCTTCCACTGTCGGGATGGATTTTTAAAAAATATCTCTGAATCATTTCGAGAAATGTGGACGTCTCCTTCGGGTAGTGTAAATTAAATATAAAGTACAAAGAAAAGCAACATTCTAAAGCTTGAAAAAAGTTTTTGCACTGTACCACCCTTTCTTTTTCCATATATATATAAAACTGATTTTCGACAGTACCTAAAATTGAAACTCGTATGTAAAAAGTACCAGATTGCAGAATTTTTTTATGCTTACAGTTGATAATGCACGGTTCGTTTTGTGTAATTTCAATCATAGTTTCATCCTAAAATATTAAAGAAGACGGTAATAAACAATAATTAATCGCTGACAAAGACATTGTATACCTGAAATTTGAGGTAAAAGACCCCATAGATATTTTCCTGGAAATATCTTGCAAACACTTCTAAAGCAATTATTTCTACCGAATCCCGTCTTACGTCTTTGCTGATGATAATTTTATGTTGTAAGCCAAAATTTACAATTTTTTCTGCTTTTAATTGTAAATTCGTTGTAAGATTGCTTATGTTTCCGTTCGTAACTTTGTTAAAATGCCATTTTATGGCTTCTACTTTAAAAAGGACGGGCCATTGGTCTTTTATGTTAGTGATACTTGGAGGGTCGACATTGTTGATAAACGCCCTTTGTTCTGCAAAAGTTTCTTCCAAAAGGTGGAAAAACTCGTCTGAAGCATCATCTAGGAAGGTATTTAATTTGTTTTTAGCTGCAGCGCCAGCTTTTTGATAAGGTGGTGCCCATTGGGCGCATCCTGCCGTTGCGTTTTTCTTAATTTTGGCAAGATGTAGTGGTGTTTCAGGTGATGTGGATATTGGCCGTTTATGCGGCCTTTTTAGGTAATGGTACCATTCTTGCAATTTTGTTTTTAAACTAGCAGTACCATCTCCCAGAACCACACCATCATCGTCGTAATCTCTAAAGGTTGCGGGATATTTATCGACCATTTTAAAAGAAACGATTTTAAAAGCTTTTGACGGAATCGATTCACTGATTTGTTTCATTTCATTTACAACAATGTGGACAATTTCAGTAATAGCATATTTGTCCCGTTTGCCTTGGGCACAACATTGGAGCATATCTTGTGGAATTTTCTCCCAAGGTATTACAAAATTGATCCAGGAAAATTCTAAATTGCAATTAGATGCTTGTATGGTGCAATCCAAAGAAGAAGAGTCATTATTCCAAAATTCCGTTGCACCACTGATACATTCGTTACTTTTAGTGGAAGCAATAGTCTCTGTTGAAGTCAGTGACATGAAAGAATGATTATTGGGACCACTGGATGATTCACTTATTTCACACTGGGATTGAGACGACAACCAAACTTGACCCGGTTCTAACAAAATTAAAGTTTCATGTTTTACAGCAATTAATATTTCCTCTTCCTCAACTGGTGTTCCATCTGATTCTAGTACAACAGTCGCGCCATTAATTTCAAGTTTTTGAGATGCTGAAAAAATACAATGATGTCTGAATATAAAATAATATTTATAACTTACCTTTTAATATTAAATCAACGTAAACATTTCCAGGTTCTTTTATTAAGATTAGTCCCTTCTTTGTACGTGTTTGGTCCCATACTTTGAATAAATGCATCCTAAACAAAACACAACACCCAGTTTATTGCTAAACATAAATTATTAAATTATTAAAATATAAAATATTAGATTTTTTTTTTAATATTTTAATAATTGATTACATTGTTAAAACTATTATGCTAATAATATGATAAAGGAACACTTAAAGAATAACTCACAAATTTTCTAATGATTCATACTTACAACAATTACCTACAGTTCTTTTGTTATCTACTGTATTCTTTCTGAGCAATGATGGTTATGGGTAAATTTAAGTAACATATTATACTGTTAAAATTGCTATGCTAAAATAAAGACAAACAAATGTTCAGACTTCGAAATAAAATTAATACTCCTAAATAAAAACTTAAAACTTACACAACTTACAAATTCTCGAATGGTTCTGACTTAAAACTATACACAGTTTTTTTGTTACTTTCGGTTTTTTGGAGCAATGTTCTGGATGAATTAAGCTATCATAATTTACAACTGACAAATTTTGATTTTTAAAATTAGAATCAGTGTTGTAATACAAACCTATTTCACAATCATATGTTATTTTTAATGTAGTTCCAATGAAACAAATGTTATCAAAAAATTCATCAATAACTATATATTGAATCGAACATAATTTATATGCACCATAATCGTCAACACCAAAACAAACTACGGCATGTTTTTGGTAAGTAATTCCTCTAAATATGACTTTTGAAGATACAAAACATTTTGTAGTTTTAAAAGCACCTTCAATTTTAGTGGATAGAGTCGGCAGATAATTATTCGAATTGTAGATTTGGGATTCATCTGCTATTACTTTGGTGCTGAACAAAGTATTTTGTGAATACAACAGAGCCTGTAACAATTGGTGTTTATGAGAAAGAGAATATAAAACATTTTTATAATTCGTTGAATGTTTGACAATTCGTTTAAAGTACTGATGCTTACTTTCAAACCTCATGGTCCATAGATAGCTCAATGGTCCAAATTGTAGTATCAGTTGTGGATAATGCAATAAATAATGATGTTTTGGTTTTAAAGATTCTTGTGGTAGTACTTCTTTGCGTTTATGTAAATAATCTATTATTAACTCTTTTAAATAAGCTATCTGACCCACTGAGACTTTGTAACTTAATAAAAACAGAACTATTTTCCTAAGAATTAAAATAGCATTCCATGCTTTATTATTTGTTAATGTTTTATTTTCTAGTGCAAACGGCAATATTATTATTAACCACATATTTTGATGAGCTGTACCTGAAAGTCTCTCGGATTTTTTTAGCAGTGGTATATCGACTTTTTTTTCTCCTTCAAATTTTAAGACTTTTAATGTAGAATTTAATTCTTGGAAACATATTTCTTTAGCATTAACCAACTGATCAAGAGTTAATATTAAATCGGATTGTACGACTCCTTCGAAAAGATCATGTGCAATACATGGTGGTAAACCAGGATTAGCGACATGAAAAAAGCTTAATGTATTAAAAACAGAATCAGATTTTACACCTCTATAAGATCCATTAGTTGCTAAACTCATATTAACATCGTAAATATAGGAATTTTTTGTTCGACATTCACATATTTTTGTTAAACCGTCATTTTTGTTTACTTTGTTAATATAACAATATCTACAAAAAAATCCAGATAAACTAAAGTTTTCATTGTAGCCACCAATTTGGTGACTGCCAAGATTATCACCAACTACAGCTACCAGTGCTCCTTTTAAACATTTAACTTCAGAGCATGATATCTGGATATTAACACCTTCTTCAAGTTTTTTCAAGTCCTGAAGTAGATTTTTTAAAACCATTGCAAATCCAAATTGTTTTACATCTTTTTCATAAATTAATGCAAGTAGTTGAATATGTTCAACTTGAGATCGGTGCCAAGTAGGGAGATTTGTAAATATAGCATAAAGGCCTATAATTTTATGTTTTTTTTTGGAAGCACCTAAAGGATTACATATTTCAAAAGTATCCTGATATAAAATAATTTGAACGGCTTCAACATTTTCTTTAAAAAAAATATTATTTCTTGAGCAACTTCCATCCTGAATATCTGAAAAAACATCAGTATTTAGTGAAACGTTTTTTTTATTATGAAACTGTTTATAAAACGATTCTGTTTTCATTAATTCTGTGATTGTTTCTATTATGGGCACATACAAATATTTCGAATTTTGATTTAATTCAACGCACACAGGACTTACGTAATTAAAATATTTCTTATAATACTTGTTTCTACAAAACTTACTTCTTAGCTTACCGCCTTTAGAATTGTGAGCTATGTTAAACAAATTATTTTCAATAATTTTTTTCTCAACTTCGAAGTTAGAAGCTTGTAAATTTTTAATGATAAAATTTGTGTTTAGATCGTTAACATCAGAGAGTCCGTTGATTAATAATTGTAAAGATTTATTTGACAGAAAAAATTTTGATTCTAATGTTAAGTACAATGAACTGAGTAATTTTAAACTGACCTCTTCCAAATTTTCAGTAAAACATTCTGACAAATCATCGCTATCATGTGTTTTTTCTTCAACATACTCTATATTTGTCGTTATACTTTTACTAGTTGATGGCAAATTAATATCTGACTGGGTGTCTTCATATTCACATTCGTTTTTCAGGGATGACTTCAAAAAATGTTTCCTAAAGATATGTTGCTTGAAAATCGTAACTCTGGAAAATACAGAAGTACATTCGCTTGACAGTGGACATTTTATTGTAACCCTTCTTTCAATGTGCTTATTTACATGAGCAATAAACTCTTTTTTAACATCGTTTTTGTAATCACATTTGATCACATTACAGCTATAAGATATTTGAGAAGTTAAACGTTTTTGTTGATTTCTAGGATAATTATGTTTTCTGTATACATGAAATTTAAAACGATTATATGACTTAAAATTTAAAGTGCAACCAATCTGTAGGCATTTAAATCTAACTCCAGTCATGTTGCGATGAAACTTTTGATGTATTTGATATTTCTCTATCGATTTAAGATTCATTTTACAAATATCACAAGTAAACATCTTCAAATCTTCAATTACAAATAATGCAAATCAGTATGGCGGGTATGAAGTTTAGACTTACCTGTACACGAGGAGACCACACGTTTGTCCAGACAACACAAGTAATAATGCGTCACTTTAACCGAATATGCGCACGCAAGCAGAAAAAATTACATACACGTTGTAAATATACTGGTTTCGATGCGAATTCACAACGTTGCTCTTTATTCACAACTGCCCAAGGTAAATTTACCAATTTGATGGAAATATTACATTCTTTATTGTATATTTACTGATCAATTGTACATAAATTAATTAAAATTACCTTATCAAAAGGAAATTTACCGTAAGTACGGCAAAAGTTCTGCGTTTTTTGTAATATTACAAAGAAATTAAATATCGCATTAGATTTCTTGTAAAATTCACCTGAAAAATGATGTATTAGATTTGTGAATTCACGACGACTTTTTTCAGTGTAGGAAGGAGTTTAGGTGTAAGCTGGCATTATCCGCTCCGGTATGCGCATCGGTGCGGCGGTATTCCGTCTTTTATTTGCTTCCTGCGACACTAACAGTACACAGATGTTGTTTCCTAATTAAAAAGAGCGCATTCTGTGCAGCACAAAATGATAACCGACGCGTTCGCTCACTAATTTCAACTCGAGAACAAAACGAAAAATCAGGCCATGAATTGGAACAAAGGCGCCTCGCCAGCTCTAATTAGGACGCATTGTCGAGGGCTGCGTGCTCAGTTATATTTTAAAAGAACAAGTCTTCAACTCGAGTGTTGAATTTTACCTCGCGCTCTAATGACTTAACTGAATTCATTACGACTCCCTCCCACGCTCACCTGCCGACTCCACCACGTAATATCGTCAGACCATCCAACAACTCAAACTATTGATATTCATTTTGACTTTCGGAGTGCCGCAGAGATCACGCCGTGGTCCTGCCCGTTTTTTGCTCCTTCGTAGTGAAGCATGATTGATGTCCTTCCAGCTAGCGCAGTGCAATTGTTTCAGATGCGTTTAGTGGTGGAAATCGCTTTTTTGGTTGTACTTCCCATAAATCATGGTTTAATGATGGGTGTCGGGCAAAAAAGCGGCCAGTCAGCGCCGGTCTTTATGCGGCCAGTTTTTGTGCGCGTCGCGGACGCTCCCAACGTTTATTGGCATTTATTAATGGGGTACGTTTGACGATTCCAAGTGACGCTGATTCCAGCAGTGGAGAAAAGTCGGCCGTAATTAGGCGAGGAACTCGTTAGGGCTGGTTTATTTTATTTGGATGTGTGTGGGTTTGATAATTATAGGTCCGAGCGGAAGCAGTGCGCTCTGCCGATGGCCGGAGGCGACTCTTCTCAGAACTAACAAGGTTTCTTTGTGTCGTTTATATAATAAATTACATCGTTCGACTGCCGAGGATCGCCGGGAGTTGGATACAAAAAGGCACGGCTGGGTTTCGAAAACGGACGAAATTTTCAATCGGGGACCACGGTTTTTTAGCCGGGTTGAGTTTCAAGCGCGCGTTTTTGCATTTTTGTAATTAAATCGCGGGTTTGAAGGGGGATCGGGTTGAACAAAACGGCGGTCGATAACCATCGGGAAGCTGATTAGGATTGTACTACGAGCTGTTTACGAGATCTTATCTAGAGCATGGCAGATAGCAAAGCTTTGCATAAAATAAATTAATGCTACATAGGTATTTTTGCCGATTTTGATAACTTTCAACAGTCTTCGAAAGCTATTTTCTAACGTGATGAACCGTGTATATAATAAATAAGATGGGTCCTAAGATCGATCCCAGAGGGACGCCAGATGTATTAAAGCTACTTCTGATTTGGCACATTATCATGAACTCTTCAGATATTTTGACACAGAAGTAAAATTCTCATCTCGACAAATGTTCTCTGAATGCCATAAGACACTTGAATCGAAAATTTTGACCGAGAAGAGCTCCGGAAAAATGCTCTAAAAATAAACATGTTCCAATGGTTCTGAAATTAAGTCTCTGGACTAATTTTGCGCAACTCAATGCCTTTTTGGCATCGGTTGTTGAAAATTGTCTCTATTTTAAACGAAGTCCTTTACCAAAAGTCAAAAAACAAATTGTGAGTTTGACCGTCCATAACTTTTGAACGGACAAAGAGAGCGTATTCCGGTTTTTACCACTCGATTTCTTATAGTTTTCTGGACATTGGACTATATTTCTAGCCAGCTATCTTTGTCCGTTTAGGATCTACGTACACATTTATCGACAATTTTTTGACCCCAGAATTTATTCAGGAGGTTCGAATTGGCGAAAGGATTTATTTTCAGTCAAATGGAAGTCTCAGAAATCTAGATAATCAAGAAACCCATGAAATCTCAAAAACCCAAAGAACCCTGGTCATTCAAAAAAAACCTAAGAAGAAACGCAAGAAATTTGAGAAACACGAAAAATCCAAGAAATCCAAAATTGTGAACAATTCCAAAAAACCAAAAATTTTGAACAAAATTTTAAAACCCCGGGAAACCAAATATGAACAAAATTAAGAAATCTAATGCAAAATTCCGTAAATTATAAACATTCTGAAAAATCGAAAATGTTTAACTCACAATAAACTCAAAGAACCTCTGAAACTGATAACGCAAGGAACCCAAAAATCCAAGAAACCCAAGAGCTCTAGCAGTCCAAGAAATCTAGAGAGACAAAAAATCAAGAAATCCAGGGAATTCAAAAACCCCAAGAAATCTAAGAAATCCAAAATTTTGAACATTATAAACATTCTAAAAAAAAACAAATTTGGAACAAGACATTTATGACATCCAAAAAGTCCCAGAAATTCAAAATTCTGGAAATTGTAAACATTCCGAAAAATCAAAACTCCTGAGGAACCCAAGAGGGTTAAGAAGTCTCAGAAACCTAGATAATCCAAGCAATCCTTGAAATTTCAAAAACCCAAAAGCTCAAGAAATAAAAAAAAGGAATCCAGCGAGACAAGGAAACCTAAGAAACCTTGGACATTCAAAAAACCCAAGAAATTCGAAAAATCCAAAATTGTGAAAATTATAAACATTCCAAAAAGCCAAAAATTTTGAACAAAATTTAAAATCCCAGGAAATCGAAGATGGGCAAACTTTAAGGAATCTAACAAATCCAAAATTCTGAAAATTATAAACATTTTGAAAAATCGAAAATTTTAACTCCCAATAAACCCAAGGAACCTCAGAAACTCTGATAACGCCAGAAATCCAAATAAATTTCAGGAACCCAAGAGCTCTGGCAATCCAAGAAACCGAGAAATAAAAAAAAATCAAGAAATGCGGGGAATTCAAACCCCAAGAAGCCCAAAAAATCCGAGAAATCTAAGAAATTCAAAATATTGAAGATTATAAACATTCTAAAAAGTCAAATTTGGAATAAGACATTTAAGAAAGACCAGAAATTCAAAATTCTGGAAATTGTAAACATCCTCAGAGAGTTCAGAAGTCTCAGAAACCTAGATAATTCAAGAAATCCATGAAATCTCAAAAATCCAAGACCCCAAGAAATAAAAAAAAAGAAATCCAACGAGACAAGGAAACCCAAGGAACCCTGGACATTCAAGAAACCCAAGAAATTCGAAAAATACGAAAAATCCAAGAAATCCAAAATTGTGAAGATTATAAACATTCCAAAAAACCAAAAATTTTAAACAAAATTCAAAACCCCAGGAAACCGAAGACGAACAAACAAGAAATCTAACAAATCCAAAATTCTGAAAATTATAAACATTCTGAAAAATCGAAAATTTTTAACTCTCAACAAACTCAAGGAACTTCAGAAATTCTGATAACGCAAGGAGTCCAAAAAATCGAAGGAACCCAAAAGCTCTAGCAATTCAAGAAATCTAGAGAAACAAAAAAATCAAGAAATCCAGGGAATTCAAAAATCCCTAGAACCCGAATAAATCCGAGAAATCTAAGAAATCCAAAATTGTGAAGATTATAAACATTCCAAAAAACCAAAAATTTTTAACAAAATTTAAAACCGCAGGAAACCGACGATTAACAAACTTAAGAAACCTAACAAATCCAAAATTTTGGAAATTATAAAAATCCAAAATTTTCAACTCCCAATAAACTCAAGGAACCCAAGAGCTCTGGCAGTCCAAGAAATCCAAAATTTTAAAGATTATAAACATTCTAAAAAACGAAATTTGGAACAAGACATTTAAGATATTCAAAAAATCCCAGAAATTCAAAATTCTGGAAATAGTTAACCTTCGGTAAAAACAAAACTCACACGAAACTCAAGAGAGTTAAACAGATCTCAGAAACTCAGGTACTTAACCCAAGAAATCCAAGAAACACAGGAAAAAAACTTAAGACGGGCTTTATACCCTAGAATGAGACCAATGAGAATATGCAAATATATATAGAGTGTTTTATTGAAAAATACAGTAAAAATTACAATGAGTGAACTATATATAACAGCACAAAATAGTGTAAATCTACACTTATGTAAAGTTGTAATTGTAACAGAATTCATCCGGCAAATGGCTACTTACATGTTTTCTAGACGTTTCATAACTCCTAAAGTATATGGGTCAATGTTTAGCTTTAAATTCGAAAATTTTGACCGAAAAAATTCAGTTGCTAGACTAATTTTGTCCAGCTGAATGCCCTTAACTTGCCGCGCATAAACTGAGAAAGTATATTGTAATCGAGTCCATC